TCTACACATGTATACGCAAGCGTGCCACGGTCCCGTCGACAATCTGCAGCCTAGAACCTAGAATTAATATTAAGTAAAACAACCTGTAGTTTTGACAATCAACATTTTTGGCGTGCAGCTTGTCTCCCCATGAACGCAAGGGTTTCCCTGCATTCTTTCCGCAGGCAAGTTGCCATATGTGCATGCTATCCTGGCCGACCACTGTGCCCTACATCAAACCCAGATGTGAAAACTTGTATACGCTGATCAGGGGCTGAGCCATTCACTCCGAAGGGCGAGGCCGTCCGGGCCTTCCACGTGCCACATAGCCGGGTCGGCGACACTGTGTGCATCCATTTTTTGAACCACGGCAACGTGTACACCCGAAGATCTGGCCATCTGCTGGTCCCTGAGCATCGCCACGGCCGCGTCCTCGGCCACGTCCCCGGCCACGTCCTCGGCCGTCTCCCTTAGCCACCGCCGAGCTCTCCGCATCTCCACGACCACGCGCCGAGCGCTCAGCGCGCCCGCGCCCACCATCACCACCGCCCTTGCCGCGGCCCTTGCACTTCCCGGCGCCTGCAGTGGCAATCTCCAAGCGAGCCCGCTTCGAACCCTTTCCGGCAGCTGCATCTGCCTCATGGTCTCCCTTGCTTGCCTTACCCTTGGGGCTTCGCCGCATGGATCGCAATCTATGCAGCTTTTTGCTGCTGCCACGCTTCAACCCTTTCAAGCCTGCAGTCTTCCCGGCCTTCGGCGTCTTGCACGCTCCTTTGCTAGCCTTGCGTGCTTTGGGGGTCTTCGATTTACGTAGCTCTGCCTGAGCCGTGGGGTTGATGCTTGCCAGGTCGACCTGCAAGCGCATATTCGATTATAAACCTATATAAAGCTACAAGCCGGAAACCAAAACTCACTTTATGAAAAAACATGGACAGAAGCCTTCGGGGGAGAGATCTCAAGCTCGCGCTTGTTAACCAAAGGCGGAGGGGTTGTTATCGAAGCTTCCGGAGAAGTAGACTGCATGCCCAGGAGTGCATGATCAGCATCATACAACTGTGTGTCCTGCAGACTCATTTATAAAGGCTATCCGGTCGAGGCATTTCGGAAGGGTTTATCGAGATGGGCAAGGGTGCTAGAACTCCAATTCTTAAATGGTTATTCTTTATAATAATTCTAGTTTATGCGGCCTCGTGGTCAGGGATGGTATCCGCCCGTCTGACGGGCTTCAGCGGGCTATCGATGATCTCCACAATCTTACCTGATGTGTCACCCTCCCCGAAATCATACCCCTAATTAATTACGTATCTATGAACCCTTATAAGGTGCCAGCCTGCGGCTCCACTGGAATCTGGAGAGGAGTCTGCAGCCAAGGCCACCGTTGGCCAAAGGTTGCGCTTAGGCCTCATCAAGGAGGGATTCTTACGGCAATTATTGTAGGGAATCTTATGTTCTCGTAGAGCTTGCGATCGTGAAAACAAAAACCTAGTGCACTAATCAAAGCGTAGCACCAAAGACCAAGTTCATCTTGGAGGGCTTTAATGGCTAGGAGCTTCTCACGGAGTGCATTGCGTTTGGACTCCGACCCTGAAGAGGCTGCGGTGGGGGAAGGGCGGATTCGCTCGTGCTGCTCTGCTGGGCTTAGGATTGCTGCTGCTGGGCGCTCCTCGGGTGCACTTGATGTTGGTGGGGCCTTTGAGGACGTTGGGGGCGTAGGGTTATCTTCCTTCTCATGTTCATCTCCTGCTGTCTCCTCAGCTCCCTCCACGCCTTCTTCCACAACATCATCCTCCTCGCGTTCCTCCTCCTCCTCTCCCTCCTCACCCTGGTCATCAATTTCCTGAAGATCTTCCTCTTCAGGGTATTCATCACCAGCTGTCTTCGCAATAGCCCGGAAAAGCTCACGAATTTCCCAGTCCTAAATCGGTCACAAAAGCAATCATAGTGCAATCTTAGGGGCTCATTCATATAGTTTGCACAAAACTTATAATGACCTGCCAAGTTAAGAAACTCTGGGGGTCTGCCCCCTTCGGCGGGCATCGGAGTACCGTTTCCAGCTATGGCTGTACAGGGTCTTCAACGTCCATGCATCCTTGTAATCTTGCTTCGAGTTCTCAGGAACATAGGACATCTTCTTGAAGAGGGAGGCAACCTGACACGGTATTCGGTTTTGGGGGTGATTTAAACAGACCCTGGGCCCTGACAAAAACTTTGAAATCAATTGTAATTATTCTGCATTGCAGTGGCCTCAGCCTTAAACTTGTGCACGCCCACCTTCTGAAGGCCAGCTGCTTTAACGATAGTGATGAGTACCTTGAAATTGGCCTTGAGCGCTGGGTTCGACTGGAGTGCTTCCTCCCCGCCAGCTGAGACAGGGGTGTGAAGCCATTCAGCTCCTATGCGGAACCGCCGACGTACCACCTTAAGGTTTTCCCATTCCGAAGCCAGTTTCAAAGCACTATCCGACATGGCTATCTAAAAGCTTCCCTCACCAGCTAGACAGTGAAACAGCTGCCAAAATACTTGGATTGAGATGTGTCTGCAAGGGCACAAGTGATTTCACACGACAGTTTTGG